CCTACCTGTGCCCTTGCCAGGGCATCTCCTCCTTTCCCTACCTGTGCACCTGGTGATGTATCTAACAGCTTCCAGGCTCAACCCAGTTTACAGTGATTAGCACAGTTAAGGTGTTTTTAATTAAAGTCTTTACCCATGACTTATGTAGTTTTAATTGCCTAATACTTAACTCAGGAAGTTGGTGCTGGTTTTGTGCTGGTAGCTTTTTTTTCCTGCAGCGGACTGATGGTGTGAGGTATTCCCAGATGTTAAGAGGTTAGCTTGGATGTAGTTGAGACCTCTGTTCATTTGTTATTCCATATAAAAAACTTTATTTCCAAAGTAAGTTCTATCAGTGAACACGTGTGTTAATAAGTTTTCCTGAATGTTTTCCTTGAGTTCTTTTCAAGTGGGATTGCAGGCCTTGAATAAAGCTGACACTGGTTGAGGAGGCCTTAAGACAGTAAGGCTGCCTTTGGTGATAAATCATCTTTTAAATTTCACCAAAGCAAGAGTAGGACATAATCGTGTATTATTACTTTTTCAGTTTGTTTATTCGTTCTTAAGCAGGTCTCCCACTGACTTGTTTGGAAGGCCATTGAACACAATGGCACCCTCAGTGCCATTTAAGACTTTTATTGTCTCCCTGTATTAATAGAAAGCCACTTACTACTATTTAACAGGTACGTTTGAGGCTTATTTTTGTACCAACACTTGGCCTTCTCTTGTAAAAAGGGCCAGGGAGAGCACTTGAGAATTGTTTTAATAAAAACAAAGCAGTAGTTCCCCCTTTTTTTTAAATTAAAAGTTCCAGAACAATTTTGGAAACTTTAAACATGAAAGTTCTAGTGGTTGAGAAGCAGAACCTGCAACACATTGAAAGCAAAAATTAAATTGATAGTCTAATTTTACTATCCACACTGAGTGACATCTGAAATAGTAAGGAAGCCTAAATTATGAAAAGTAAATTAGATTTTTAAATTAGGTAATGTTTGAAGATGTTACAGTATTACTACATTTATTTCCTTGTTAATATTCTGAGATGTTTTAGGAAAAAGTAAGGAAAGATAAATCATACCAAAATAATTTAAATGACACTTAAAAAAAATCAATTACAATGCGAGGCTTATTGCTATGCAGAAGAAGAAGCCTTTGCACAGAAATAAGCCTTTTACTTAATTCCACCTATTGAACAGAAAAATACAGACTAGGGAGAAAGTGCTTGTCTACCTTTGGCAATAGAGGAGCCTGGGAATAGTGTGAGGAAATGGAGATTCCGGTCTATGAGATACCTGGCACAGGCATGTATGTTTTTATCTCAGTTTTAAAGGGGGTTTGAAACTTTTTTTAGCCATATAGAGGAAGGACTCTTTATTTTTGTCTCAGTGCAAAGAAGGAAACGCCTCAAACTTAAAAGTTTAGTGACTTCCAAGGAAGATGTGTGCTATGGTGTTAGTAAAGACAAGGTTGCTTTACAAGTTCAGGATCCCCTGGTTTTGTAGAGAGGGAAAAAGGGGACACCCTACAGCCATAATAGTCTGAAAGCTACAGTTAGGACAACAGTTGCTTGGAACTTTAAATGTGGAGTGAGGAAGATATTGTGATGAGCAGCCAACTCTTCCTGGGTACTTTAAGGGTTACCTTGGGCTGATCTGTAGTGGTTCACCAGAACAGAACTTTAAGAGGCCATCAATTTCTGTTAGATGTAAGAGTATTTTAAGAAGTAGAATTTTGCTTCCATGTTGCTGCGGAAACAACTTTCTGGGAGGTGGATCCTGCTCAGTCTGATAAGCAGAAAGAGTTAACATGTATCTCAGAGTGTTGGGTATAGTGCCAACTCTGTAGGGGAGAGGTAGAAGTCGTTAATTGCAAATCATTTTGGTGTTTGCATTCTGGGGTTGTGGGTGGGAATTCCTTTTTTTTAGCCATTTTTATTTTGCCCAGGTGTACTTGGGAGTTTTACAGCTGGGAGTCAGCAACTTTTTATTAATTTTCTAGAAATAGATATGTAGCAAATAAGTTCTTAAATAACTCCAGATTGTGTCAGCATTTTTCTTTGCTTGTTTCTATCAGCATTAACTAAGTGTTACTGTTCAAATCAGCATGGTAACAGTTTTGAAGAATGGCAAAAGAAATGAGAATGGATGTATTTTCATGAAAGGGTAGTATATAAGAGGAAAGAAGTAAAACCTTAATATTGCCAGTTAGATTCCTATTATCTGTAACGGTTTTTTGGCCTTAAGGGAAGTTGATACTGAACAGTAAAATCTGTGTGAAGCAGCATCATGTTCTTATGCTGGTCTGGCTGCCTGGATAAAAGAAAAACATGTGGAGTGTAGCATTATTGATGTGGCAATTGTATCAGGATTCATTTGTGGTAACTGTGGATTTTTTTCTGGATGAATAGGGGGAGTAGAATAATTACAATTCTGGCCCTGCAAGAATTATACTGACCTAGGCAGAAAAGAGTGTGTCTCAAAACTAATGACAAAATATGCCCGACATACAAAGTGTAATCTCTAGGGTATTTTCTTCACTTTTGCTTAGTTTTTAAAGAAATTGGATGGAAAAATCCTGCATTTGAACAACAGAGGAGTGCAGACAAGATGCAGAATTAAAGAGCAAGCTGAAAAATCATGACTAAACTCAATAACAGTGACAAAATAATTGTGGTCACTTCTAATTAGCCTGTTTATTTCACGGTACCAATTCAGATTTTTCTAAGAAAGTATATGCACTGGTGTTTTTTTAATTAGCTCTCCTTGATTTTTCTTACATATCTTAATTAAAAGTTTGGTTGTAGTTGTTAATTATGATGTACTTGTTTAGCCTTTTGTTTAGTCTTTGTTCTGTTTATGAATGCTGCCTTCGAACAGCATTGCTCTTACTCAAACATCTTGCATGATAGTTTTCCTTGGGGGTTACGGAAATGATAATCAGCCTTATGCTTGCTCTGTTTCCAGGTGCCAGTAAGAGACTCTTTGGAAACCATAGCTCAACAAACAGACATTTCGTGTTCTACTGTGACCTAGTCCAGTTTGTCAGAAATTGAATTTGAAAGTATTAAATTGCCTATCACTGGCCCAGTCTGCTAGGGAGATTTTCATGTTTCTGTTTTGGTTGGACTTCAGCTTTTTGGTTTCAGGGACTTTTTTTGGTTTTTTGGGTTTTTTCCTCTTATGTGAAAAGACGGTTATGGTAGAGAATCCAAAGGTGTGTTGTACTTCTTGCAGTCTTTTATATTTGGTCAGGTTTTTTCTCCCCGAACCATTTGCAGCAAGTATAGCATGGGGGCATGGAAAACTCTTAACCTCTTGCAAAAAGAAATAACATGTCAAATATTACAGTATATTACTGGATTCAGAAAGCAATTGACTTGTGAACCAGGCTTGGTGAACCGTTTTATTCACAATGTCTTTTCATTACTTATTCAGATAATTGATGCAGTGTTTGAAGTCCCTGAAGTGCACAGAAGCATCTGCATTTTCATTGACATAGTAAACTATTTCTAAAAAAAAAAAGTACTTCAGTATCCCCACAATAGACAAAATATGCAGCCTTTGTTTCCATAATGATTTAAAGTTAATGCATGGGAGATTGCGTTTGGGATTTCCATAAATTAAGGGTTGTTCTCACCTTTCAACAGTTGGGTTTTTAGTACTGAAAAACAAGTGTGGTTTCTGTGTGGGTTTTGTGTAACTTCAGTAAAAATAAGTATTCTAGTGCTTCCCCCACGATTATAAAAACTAATAATAATAAATGGTGGTATTTGTAAAACTGCTGATACTTCTGCAGTCTAAGAATACATTGAACAGATGCCTCCTGTTGCCCTCCACTTCAGTGTGTTTACTAGTGCTTCGTGCAGCCTAGGTCATATTCTTGTTTTCTGTGTTTCTAAGTGCTCCTATAGCCTCTTCCCTCTGAATGCAGTCAGCTGCTCCCTGATTTGGTTTACATGCTCTTAGTGTCTCCCTCGGGTTCTCTCCATTCACCCGTCTTTCACAACAGGCTCTGCAAGCTTTGTTAATCAGCTCATCCATTTGCATTAGAAGGTGGGGTTTTTTTCCAGCGCAAGAAAAATTGTTTTCATCCCTCACTGCTTGCTGTCATTCCTTAGTTCGGAGCTTTCTAGTTTATTATCAAATTTATCACTTGCTGTTCTTGGAGATAGAGCTACACTTTTCTGTTGGGTGTGGTTTTTTGGTTTTGTTTCTTTTTGTGTATGCGTGTCCATCGATGTTATCTGGCCCCTTGCCTGCCTTTATATAAAAAAAAAAAGCTTACTTTTTCTTCTTGATTGATTTCTTCCACTTGGCTCCTTTCATGTTCTTCACTGACTAGTAGTTTTGTCACTTCTGGGATTTCATGCACTATTTCCAACACAGTTGACTTTATCTGAACCATTGTCCTCCATACTTCCATACAATGTATAGCTAAAGAGTCTTTGTATAGTTAAAGTCTTTGCACCTTTCTGCTGTTAGTTTGTCTTCTCTTGTTTTTTAGGTCTCTTCCAGTTAGGCACAGTGGTTTGCTGTAAGGTAAATATCTGTGTGCCAATGGTTTCTTATGGGCAATACATAAACACTGGGTTTCCCAACCCTCCCAACAAGAATGTTCACTGCATATCCTTTTGTATTTAATTTCTCTTATAAATGTATAATTCCAGATTGCTTTTCATGAGTGTTTTTATAGCTGAATTGATGCTTTTTGATGTTCTTGCCAGTTTCTTCAGTTGCAGTAGCCTGTGCAAAGCCTCCTTTTGCCAAGCTGTTGCTTATTGCTTATGCAGAACTCCAGGTTCTCTAAGGTACATGGATGTTGTTTAATAGAAATACTTTTACTGGAGGAGCTTTCTAGGTCAGAAGAGAGGCCTGACACCCCTGAGGCAAAGAAAGCTTGCCCATCTCCTGTGTACATGCCCACAAAAATTTCAAAACCTCATCTTCATGGAAGGATTTGCCCACCAGATGCAGGATCCTAAAGCCTGTCCTCTGCACTAGACCTATCTGTAGGTTATAGATTTATCTCATCTCCTTGTGCCTGCCAGTTTGTGGAAATAGTAATACCCAGGAAATCTGCTTTGTCTTGCCAAGAAGTGTGTGAGGAGCTGCTGGTGGCTGTGTGTGGGTTCTCTGGGTTTGCTGAAGGGTGGCTGCTGCACTGCTAAGGGACATGTGCAAACAGGGTTTGTTGCTTCAGTTCAGGTTGAGCTGTAGAGCTGTATTGAGCACCTGTGGCTTTGCTAGAGAGGTTTATTACTGGTTCTGTATCTGAGATTATGAAGTGTCATTTGCAGAAGTCAAGATATTAATATGATGTGATACAAAGCTGCTCTGATACTGACTCTTGTTTCCAGGTCCGTCACTTGCCAACAGTTTTAATTTTTGCTCCTCGTTCAAGTAGTTGTGGTTTTGAATAACTTTGTTTGGTTTTGTTTCTGTTTTTCTAAGAGAAGTCACTATGCTCTCCTGCTTGTCTCTTGGTCACCTATTCCCTGATTAACAGCCTTCTAACCCACTGGCAAGTCTTGAATGGATGGCAGAAAGGTGGAAATATCAAAGATGCTAAACTACTACAGGCTTTGCAAAATCAAACATGTGAAAAAAGCCTTTAATTTAATCCCTTCCTTTAGATGGAAGGGAATTGCACAGCAGCAAAACTGAATGCTGAAACCTTAAAAAGAAGTGTTGTTTCCACAGGACAAGGTTCCCACTAGCAGCCTTGATGTGTGGGAGATTATTTCTCCCATGCCATGATGAGAAAAGATAAAGCACTTTGTATACACTTACTGGCATTCTAGGTAGCATTTCAAAATCCAGACAATTTACTTTCAGTTGAATTGAGATGCCTTTTGCCTGTTGGTGTTTGCAATACCAGCCTTTCTGTTAATGTACTTGTTGCTGAATTTCACTGCTCTAAAGAAAACATCAGCTTTAATTATGTCTTAGAAGAGTCATTCAAATCCCTCTCAGAGTTTCTTCTCACTCGGGGCTCTACACTGTGGTTTGTACTTGGCTCACTGGAGCTCTTCTCGGGCTCTCATGTAAGCACAGATCACGCAATAGCATTGGGTCTGCTCTCTGCATCTGTGCTTTGACGTGGCAGCAGTCAGAGTAAATTAATAAACACAATAGATGAGTGCAGTTAAGGAATCAAAGATGAAAAGAAATTGATAGAGGAGAAAAAATGGCACTTCCTGAAGTAAATAGCACATTAAGCAGATTGGTTTGGATGGTTTGTTTTGCTTTTTTTCCATCCCGAGAAGGGAGCATGTTTGTTGACGAGAAAAGCAGGTTTTGGAAGAATGGTGTGCCTAGAAAGAGAGGCCTAATCCTGAACATGCTTAAAGATGTCTTGGACATAACTACATGTTTCACTTGGTGCTGGGATGTATCCTTACTGTCTTGTAGTCTGTCTAACCTGCCTGAATCTGCTGTGTAGGTTGCTCCTGAAGCAGTCAGCTAAGGGATCTTAGGGTCCTGCATAGGGCCTGTGTGCAGGTAGGAGGAACATCCAGGAATGTGGCCCAGGCAGTGTTGCAGCTTGTCTTACCACGTGTGCTACAGAGGATGGAACAAGAAGTAACAAATAGTGTATATTTGCAATGTAATTCCATGTCATGCTGGGCACTTTCGAGTCCATCAAATAATTTACACTGGCTGTGTTGGGAGGTTTTATTCTTTCAGGTGATCTGTGAAGCCCCTCATTCCCCAGTAAGTCAGAGTCCTGTGATATCTAAACAGGACTTACCATATCTTAAACAGGACATCCAGATTTCCCACTGCACCAGTGGGACCTTAGGAGGAAGAGAAGTTGCTGCCTCACATTTACCACAGCTGGCAAAGTGACTGGAGAGGTGAGAAACTTCCTTTCCAGCCCAGCTATCTTCCTCTGGCAGCAGTGAAGACAGAAACCAATGCCAAATTTCCCTCCTCTTGTCCTCTGCTGGTATGTGGGGGAAGATATTAAGGTCAGCCCCAGGCTCCGTGTGCTGTGACAGCGTAGGTTGTTCCCTTTACACAGATGGTCTGGCTAATGAGTACATTGCTGAGCAGAGTTCTGAATCAGGGTTATTAACACCCAGAACTAACTACCCTTTATGGAACCACGTAGTTAAATCATCTATAATACTAGGATGCTCCATGTGGTACAGAGACACACTTTCTGGATTTGTGTGCCTCTCAGTGCATCTAACCAGTCTTGCACTACAAATGTCTGACAAAAATCCCAGCCCTATACTTGAGAGATGCATTGCTGGAGATTACAGCTGGAGCTGTGCACCCTGTTGTCTTTCTCCATTCACTTTCTTAGAAACTCAGAGGCCGGAGTTTTCCCCTCTGTGCCCCAGCCCTGAGCTTAAATGGAGCACCTGGACCAGGGAGGAGGCTGCAGATGGGACCCGTCAGGACACTCAGCCCTGGGAGCACACCTGGCAGTGGCCAGGGCTTCCTCCTTGCTTGACTCCATGAATCTCATGCTGCTCCTTGCAGGTCACTCTACTGGAAACCTGTTTGAAATTTTGCCAGGTTGTGTTGCTTTTTGTAGTGTTTAACAACATGTTTGGGATCGTCTTGTGGTATGGGAATGTCATTGGCTGATGTGCCTTTTTTTTTTTTTTGTCCTTCCTGTTAAACCTGCCAGCTCTGATGCTCAGCAGTTGCCCTTTCACAGAATGGTGAGGCTGAACTAGTGGACAGGATGGGAAAGTGCTGAGGAGGAAATTTGGTACCCTACAGTATCTGGCCTGTTCATCTTAAATCTGAATCTTACAAAAGCAGTCTCTTGTGTAGGAGTTGAGTTGTTTGGTTTTTTTTCTGGATTCTTAAATAGCTGAATAAAGTAAAGCCTCCATTAAGCTTGATTTGCAGTGTTTTTTAAAGTGATTTCGATCTGGGTCTTGTGGAAGCATTTGGAGCAAGATTTTACTGTATACACTTATATGTTGTTTTTTTCCCAACATTCATTTTTAGTATCTGGTCTTATTTTGGTTTGTGTAGTTGATGTGACTGCATCTGTGAGATTTTTTTTTTTCCTTCATTCATTACTTAAAAGCTTATGAAATGTGCAATAGCATCTAGTTCTGACAGATTTATTTTTTTTTTAATAAATTACTGTTATGATCCTAATGATACAGAAGGAAAGGCTGGCTCTGCTTTCCACATGGAACAGCAAGTGATGAAATTTCAGGGAGTTCATTAGTGGAGGAAATCCTGTATCTGTCAGCAACATGTGCAGAGCTGCAGTTTTTATCATGGCAGTGTTCATAGTCTGGGGCTGTGGGCGCAGGCCATGTGCATGGGAGGCTCTTGATGATGACTGGAGTCTTGAACATATTAAGGCCTGACTGATGCCAGTGGAGAAAGAAAATAAAACTCTGTGTGAAGTAATCTGAGTTGCTGAGGAGTGTTCTCTCTGCTGGTAGGAGTTTCCTAAGCGTGAAAATCTTTGTGCCTGTATGGCAGTTGAGAAGGGAATAAGGGAATAGATAAATCCATGTCATCATCCTCCAGCTTGGGATAGTCTCCTAACCAGCTGAAGAGGGTGACTTCCTGAACAGATGATGGCACCTAAATAATTGGCCTCATTCTCAGTGTTGACAGTCTTCCCCTCTCCAGTGAGGTCAGTGGGAGTAATTGGTTAATGGCTTCATTGTGTCTTAAATTTAAATGGTGCCATTAACCCAAAAGGTCAGGAGCTGAAATTTCCACTACCAAACCACAAAATTTTATGGTGTGCACCTATGCTGTCCTGATATTTTGATGGAAAGCAAAAGGTTCTGGAAATAGTCTGGGGAAAAAAACAGTACAGACATGCTGTAGGGGTTTTTGCTGTTTGTTGCCAGCAGCTGAAATTCTCTTTGTAAAATGTTCCACAGCATCACTGATACCTACCACAGCAGAACAAAATCTAATCCTTTATTTGACACCTTTTAAAAAAGTAAATATATTTTTTTCTCACTAGGTGTAGGTTGGCTATCTGTGCTCTCCTGGAACATTTTAAGTGAGATTTTTTTACTTCAGAAGTGTTCCTCTAGGCACTGGGGCTATGGAAAATGTTAAAAACAGAGGGTTGTTCCATATATTAGGTGAGTTTAAAGTTCTTTCATTGTACGACGTCAGAAGAACAATTAAGTTTTATCTGAGCAGAGCAGGGTGTCCCTAGATGCAGGTTACAGCGCATCCAGTGATACTATTAAAAGAAAGATCATTTGTTGTTGCATTGGGGAATCCTGAGAAAACATCAGGAAAACTGCCTGGAAGAACATAAATGCATTCAAGCAATGGAGTGAAATATTCTTAAACTACACAGTGATGGTCTATAGCTGGATAGGTTTTGAGTAGCTGTTTTGATGTGATTGTTGCCTTTCCCAGCAGTCATAAATTGGACATACTAGAACCCTTTTT